ACCCCCCCCCCCCATCCTTGTTGGAGCTGGGGAAATGTGGTTTTATTGTGATTTAAGCAAACGACGGGGGGGAGGAACAAAAACCGACCTGTTTTGACCTGAAAAAGGGATGTTCCTGCTTTCAAGCTGGGGAGCAGCAAGGAGGCGGGGGGGGGGAAGCACCCATGGGTGCTGCTTTTCCCCAGTGCTCCCAAGGTGGAGGGAAGGAGGGGCTAGGGGTGCTAAAAATACCTCCCGGCCCCAGTTTCCCCCAAATTAAGGATGCTGGGGGGGTTGATCCTGGTTCTTCCCGGGGTGTTTTGGGGATTCAAGCTCAGCTTGGGTTTTCTGACGTCTGATAAGGGGTTGAGCCAGCACATCCTTAATGAAATGAAAAAACGTGTGGGTTGTTGGTGGGGTTTTTTTTCTTTTTTTTCCCTTTTTCCTGCTGTTTTCAGGCTGGGGATGGCAGGCGGGGTGGGAGATTGCCGAAAAAACCTCATTTCCTCAGGAAACAGAGTGAAAGCCTTGGCTGAAAGCTGGGACTCCAGGAATTCGGTGCTTTGGAGCTGTGGGGGCTTCGTGAACATCCCCCCTTGCCTTGTGCAAGTGGGGATTTATGCCCAGAGATGCAAATTTCAGCCATGTGCAAAAACAAGGAGGGAGAAAAGTGAAAGGGGGTGGAAAAAATAGAATATAAAACCAGATTTCACCCGTGATAAAATTCTGCAGTTAAAGCTTTTTTGCCTTAAGGTTTGCAGGCTGGAGGTGGGCACCCTGGGGAGATTTTGGGGCTGGAAAGAGGGAAACTGCCTTTTTCTTTTAACCCTTTTTGTTCTTCGGGTGGGTTTTGTGGCTAATTAAACCCTGGCTGTGATTGGGGGTCTGGGGAGAGGATGGGATTTGTTATTTTTTGTGCAAGGGGAGGTTTGGGAAGGCCGTTACCAGAAATGGAGCTGAGCACTGGTGCTTTTGTCCCATGGATCTTCCTGCCAGGGGAAGGTGAGGCACGGCTGTGCTGGGTTTGGATCAACTCGGGGTCCCTTTGGGGACAATGGCAGCAGGATGGGGACGTCCGGATGAGCACAGACCCCCACGCTGCGTTGGGGGGGAGGGTGGGGGGCTGAAGGGATGTGACTGGTGCTGATCAGCCCATTGGTGGCAGGGGTCAGAGTGGATTTTGGGGTGCTCACCTCCTCAGCAGCAGGTGGAGGGTGGTTTTCTCTGGTGGGAGACAGTACGGCTGGGTGGTACGGCTGTGCCGGGGGGGAAGGAAGCAACAGCGCCACGATAAGGACTGGCTGCCAACCAGTGAGGTTTCCCCTTGTTTTTCTGCTGGGGGATGAGGTAAGAGCCAGGCGTGCGATAACGCCCAGGGGAGAAGGAGCCAGGAGGAAGCCCATCAGCAGCTTAAATTCAAGGTGCCTTCACCTTTGGGTGCTCACAGGAACCCCGCAGGGTGTTTCGGGGTGCGCAAGGTTCACAGATGGGGCGTGGAGCGTGAGCAAGCCGGTAGTTTCGGGGTGAAAAGCCATTTTCTCCGCTACCAGCCTTTCTCAGGGCCCCAGCACACCGGGGTTCCCTGGCACAGGGGGGGTCCCTCACCCCGTTGTGGAGCCGGGAGCCAGTGGAGGAGGAACCGGCTTTATTCCAGGCTGAAGGGGAGGTTGCACAACCCGGCCCCGGGGGAAAGCGAGGCGGGTTCGGGCTTCGCTCAGCTTTTGGCTCCAGCCCTCATTGCTCTCCATAACCTTCCTCCGGCGTTTGTTTAGTGCTTTACTACCCCGGAGCCATTCGGGATTTAGCTCCCCAGAGGAGGAGGCGGCTTTAGAGGGTGCATGTTCCTTCCTTGCCCTCCTTCCTCCTTCTCTTCCTCGACCCCAAGCCACTGAGCACCTCTGTTTGCTGATCTCCCCGTGCAGATGTCGACCTACAAGCGAGCGACATTGGATGACGAAGACCCCCTGGACTCTATCGGTGAAGGCGATGGGTACCCCAACGGCTTCCAGGTGGGGCTTCGTGTGTGTTTTAGGTGGGGGTGGGGGGGAAAGAAGGGGTTTTTAGGTCCTGGCAAGCAGCAGAGGGCATTGCAGAAGGTTTTTTAGCCTGGGACCAGCCTTTCTGTGGGGCAAAGTCCGGCGTGGGCAGAGCAGTGTTGGCTCCTGCTGCCCTTTGCTCCCCTCCTGGCACCCGGAGCAAGCGATGGGGGAGCCTGCAGGGCCGGATCCTGGCTCAGCTATTTGCAACATCCCGGCACCCGGTTTTGCCACCGACCGAACCCCTTTTCCTGGTGTGACCAGGGCGAGCAATTAAGGTGGCAGCGGGAGCTTTGTCCACGCACAAAAGGGGATTAGGTTAATTCCGCCCCAAGCAGTGGGAATCGGCTTAAAAAGAGCCACGGGTGGCAAAGAAAGAAAACCCCATGGCTGACAGTGTCCGGCCTCACCGGGAAAGATTTGGGGCCAGAGCAACGTTCTCGGTGCTGTTCCCACTCCTAATTCTCTGCCTAGAATGGTGTTTTCTGCCTCCAAAATCAGAGCTCCGCTGTGTTTTTACTTTCCCTGGCGGGGCCATCTCCGCTTGCCATCGCATTGGGATGTTTCCTGGGGATGTTTTTCGGCGGAGTGGGAGTATCCTGTTACGGCACTTCCTGCTGCCGCGGCGGCCCCCACCCTGTCCCAGTGCCGGCGGTGGGGACGGGGACACCCGGAGGGTTACAGCCGTGCTTGAGGAGGGGTTCGGGCTGGCACGAGGTAGCAGGTGAGCCTGCTGAAACACTCGCCCTGCTCCCTTTCCTGCCATTGTGCCGCCCTTCCTGGCCAGTTTCTGGAAGGCAGCTGCCTCCTTTCCCAGCCCAAACGGTGCCGGATCCCTCACCAGGGGCCAAACTCGTGCCGTGGGCTGTAGGAAGGAAAATGGGGGGTGCCTCAGTAGGTTTTTCCTCCAGTGGGGAAACGGCGCTGCTTTTCCCGCAGGTGAACTTCCGCGGCTCGAGGAGCAGCCTGGGGTGCTGGGCTGAGCGGACGCGCACCGAGAAGCAGCTCGTGGTGCTGGTGGGGGTGCTGGCGGCCGTGCTGGCAGCATGTCTGCTGGGCCTCATCTTCCAGTACAGAGCCCGTAAGTCCTCGCACTGTGGGGGGATCCTACCCCCTTGAGCGGGGTGGGTTGCTGGGGGCTTCCATGGGATGCTCAGGCACGGGATGGGGTGCTGATCTGTATCACTTGCCCTGAAGCGGGTGCAGGGTGGGATGCTCAGGCACCAAATGAAATATTTGCTGGGTGGGATGATCCCCAGTGCGGCCCATTGTGCCACGGTGGATGAACTGAACCCATCGTTCCCACCCCAGGGCCACCCACTGTGTGCCTGTCAGAAGCCTGCATCTCCGTTACCAGCTCCATCCTCAGCTCGCTGGACCGGGCGGTGAATCCCTGCGAGGACTTTTTTGGCTATGCCTGCGGGGGCTGGATCAAGGCCAACCCCCTCCCTGACGGCCACTCACGCTGGGGCACTTTCAACAACCTCTGGGAGCACAACCAGGCCATCATGAAGCATCTGCTGGGTGAGTATGTGGGAGTGGTGGGACCCCCACAGCACCAAGGAGGCCGGTAGGTCTAAGGGATGGCAAAAACATGCCTGCAGGGACGTCACGTTGGGCTTGAACCCCAGTGTCAAACCAGTCTGTGACGCATGCACTGCAGGGATGTTGGGAAGCAGATCTTGCCTGTGTTTGCTCTCCTGGATGCCCCTGGGATTTTTGACCACGGTGTTGTAGCTCTTTGGCGCCAAGTAGGGGAAGGGTCTCGGCCTCGGCTCTGCAAACCCCGTGGCAGCGTTCCCAGGAGCTCTGAAATTCCACATTTGCACCCCAGACTGCATCCAGAGGCTGTAGCACCCCACTATCACCCCAAGGATATGTTTTTTTTCTCCTGCTATAGCTTCCAGTCTTTGTGAGCAGCTTTTTTGGGGGGGCTGGCTGCCAATCTGGCCGTTTTGGGGGCCAGAACTCCCTCAGCGGAGGGAGGATCCCAGGCTCAGCCTCTGCGTGCGAACACCGAAGCGGGGTGGCTTATCCGAGCAACCGGCGGGGACGGTTTGTTCAAGCTTTGAGCAAACAACTGGCTCCTTATCAGCACTTTCCACTGCCGGGGCTGATTATCTGAAAAGAGAAGGTTTGGGAAGAGTGTTGTCTTTCAGAAGGGGGGTGGTGCGGGAACAGCTTCGTCCCCGGCTCTTCCCGCAGAAATCTGGCACTGGTTTTACTGGGAGAAGGGACCGGGCCTCCAGCCAAGCAGTCGCGCTCGGCATTTCCTTGAATTCCTTGGAGCCGAGGGACCTTTCGTTAATAAAACCACACAGCTGGGAAGCCAAAGGTGCAAGCTGTGTCATGAGGAAAATAAAAAAAACACCCTCTGGGGAAGCAGAATTTTAGAGGGGGGGAAAAAAAAGGATGGTTTTTGGAGGCAGAGGAGAAAAATGGGTTTATTGTTCCTTCTTGCAGGAATAAATAATACAGGGCTGGGGAGCACCAGCACAGGGGCAAGGGCAGCACAGTGGGCTGGATGATGCTGGGAACATCAGAGCTGCTGGCAAAATGCTTTTTGTTTTGTTTTCTTAAAATTTTATTTATCTTTCTGATCCAAAGTGCCAGAGGAGTCTCTGCGGGTGGGAGAGGAGATGGGAGCAGGAGGCCAGGAAGGGCTGGGGGTCATGGGATGCTTTTGGGGTCACAGAGGGGACCGGTGGGGCAGTCCTTGGCTTCTTTTTGGAGCCTGGCTTTGCCCCAAACAGGGCTGAATATTTCTCTGGTGGAAGGGTGGGGGCTCCGGCGTGCATCAGCAGCCCCCACGGGGGCCTGGATGCCTGTCCCTGGGGGGACCCCCTGTGACACCACCCCCACCCCCCCCCCCC